GGTCGAGGCTTATTATTTGGGGTAAAATATTTTCCAATCTCTTAGAAATAATATGTGTGAATAATTTATAGTCTTGATTGAGGACACTTATGGGACGGTAACTCCCACAATTCAGTCTGTCCTTTCCCTCCTTCGCTATCAAAGAGATGGAGGCATCGTTCCAAGATGGAGGAATTTTTCCGGATTTCAGAACATAATTGAATGTGGCTCTCAAAATTGGGGCAATAAGGTCCTTTGTCTCCTTATACCACTTAGAAGGGTAACCATCCGGTCCAGGCGCTTTATTAGTTTTAGAGTCAGAAATAGCTTTTTTAATTTCGCATTCAGTAAATTCAGAAATCAAGGATCTGTTTTGCTGTTCACTTACTTTTGGCAAATTTACTTTCTCCAGAAATGCTTCCATTAGGTTGCTGTCTACTTTGGGTTGAGAATATAATTGTTCAAAAAAGGACAAAAATGACTGTTGTATATCTTCCAATTTAGAAACTTTGGTATTTGTTTGGGGATGTTATATTTTGTGAATAGCATTGTCTAATTGCTGCTTTTTCAGTTTGAAGGCCAGTAATTTAGCTGATTTTCCTCCGGCTTCATAGTACTGCTGACGCATAAAGGCCATTTTTTTCTTTATCTCACTTGACGTTATTGTTGATTTCATTGTTAATTGTATTAATATCAAGTATCAGTTTTGGATTTAAATTAGCCTTATGCGCGTTTTCCAAGGTTTTTAATTGTGTGTGCAAGTCCTTAAGATGTTTATTTCTTTTCTTTTTTAAATTAGAGCAGTATCCTATGATTTTGCCCCTCATGACAGCTTTCAAAGCGTCCCATACAATTATAGGGGCAATATCTCCGGTATCGTTCTCAGCTAAATAGTTTTTGATATCTTCCCTAATATGTTCCCTCATGGGATTTAGAATGCTTGTATTTAACCTCCAGGTAGTATCTCTTTTCTCCTCACTGATTATCATCTCCATATAGACAGGGGCGTGATCAGAAACGTCCATAACACCTGTTTTACAGTTAGTCACTCTATGAAAGTCATTTTGAAAAATGAGGAAATAATCCAGTCTAGAATAAATATTATGAGGTAGTGAGAAGAAAGTATAATCTCTACTTGATGGATTGAGTTCTCTCCAAACATCAAGGATCTTGAGATTTTTCATAGACAATTTTAAATTTCTGGTAATTTTATTCATCCCTTGTGTCTGTGAATTAGAGGAGTCAAGGAATGGATTGAGACGGACATTTAAATCACCTCCCAAAATCAAAATGCCTGCTGTTTCCAATGTAATCAATTCAAAAATGCGTTTATAAAACTTCCACTCTGACCCTGGTGGAGCATATACATTTATTACTGTTATCAAAGCGCCCTGTAAATAGCCTTTGACCAGTACATACCTCCCCTCAGCATCCTCTTTCACTTGAGTACACTCAAAGTTTAATCTATTTGAGATCAGTATCACAACCCATCTCTTTGAGGTTTGGGGGCAGGAGGAAGAAAATTGTTTGAATTTCCATTTCTTCAGTTTCTCATGTTCTGAATGAGTAAAGTGCATTTCCTGTAGTAGTGCCAATTCAATTTCCTCTTTTTTCAACTACGACATAATTTTGCTCCTTTTAACTGGATTTCCCAGCCCATTTACATTATATGTAGCTATTTTAACTTTTCTGAAATTCTGCATGGATAGACAAAGAAAATAAATCGTTCTGTAAAGATAAGTTTACCCCTAAAATAAAATAGAACAGATAAAGAACATAACTAAAATTAAAGCCGCAAGCGGCAATGAAAGGCCTCGCCCCTCTCGCGACCGCCTCCCGGGCGCCAGTCCCACAAGCGTCACACCGACGAATTGGCTGCCCGATCTGACCAGGATTACGTATATAAAAGCTCATTAATATGATAAAGTGCGCCCCTAGTGGTCACCTCCGGGACATGCACCCTCTACGTAGAGTAGTATTTTGCTCGTACAGATGTAAAGATTTGATTTTGCAACTTTGGTGAAGATCGGAAAAGTTTAGGTCAGAAGCCTTCCATTGGTGGCGCTGTAGAGTCATATTAGGTGTGTGTTTTCACACCATTACTCTCAGGCCATTACCAACTGTGAGTGATGTGAGTTTCAGCTCTGTAGGTCTGAGCCTGTGGTCAGGAGAGCATCAAACATGGAGAAATTCCCCACTACCTCGCATGAAAACGATAAAAAAATTCTAACTTTTATGCGATGATTGCATAACTTCAATCCGTCCAGATGAAGAAATGACATAGTAGAATTCTGTATGATGAAAATCCAGGGATTAGTACGAAGCCAAAAATGCGACACCTTGAACTGCCTGTAGGTGGCGCTGTTGCACTCACAGTTGTGTGTTGCATATCGTTGTGTTCAGGGTCATACGCTGTATTTCTGAATTCATTTTTAGCCTCATCTGACAAACATTTTGCCCCAAAAAGCTCATTCATTAACTTCCCAGTGCCCCCAGTGGTCAGGTGTAGGATTTACAACTTTTGCGTAATGTAACGTGTTGCTCGTCTTGGTCCAGAGAATACACTCAGCAATTTTCGGGCTGATCCGAGCACTAATGCCTTATTACTTTCCAACAGGTGGCGCTAAAGAGCTCAAATTGGGCAAATGATTTTAGTGTCATTGCGTTCAGGCCATAACCTAATATTACTGATGTGAGTAGGTCTGAGCCTGTGGCCCTCAGGGCTCAGCGAAAATGGCCAAAACGAAGGCCTTATTCGCCATGGCGAGGGACCAAAACGGTGAAGATTTTCTAACTTTTGTCTGATAATTATATAACTTCAATCCATCCAGATTAGGAAATGACGTGGTATAACTCTGTGTGATGAAAAACCAGGTACTAGTTCGAAGTTTAAAATGAAAAGTCAAATTGGTGGCGAAACTTCGGCCCATCATGGCCAACTTCCTGTTGGTCCCAGACATGTGGTTAGACCGGCTTTTATGCTCGTCTCATAGAGATCTATCACTCATCCGAATTTCGTGTACCCACTCCAAAATACGCAATCCTGCCTCCAATAGAAATGGCAAATTTTGAATTTTCAAGGGGGAGCTATTGATTCGCCTTTTGTCGGACAATCTCGAAACGTCCGTTTTATCAAATGTTTCGCCGGACCGGTCGTTTTAGACCCCCCATGTGCAGACTTTCGTGCATGTCTTCAGGGTCAAAAATTGAATTGTTTCGGCGGAAAAAGAATAATTAAAGCCGCAAGCGGCGATGAAAGGCCTCGCCCCTCTTGCGACCGCCTTCTGGGCGCCAGTCCCACAAGCGTCACGCCGACGAATTGGCAGCCCGATCTGACCAGGATGACATATATAAAAGCTCATTTATATGATAAAGTACGTCCCTAGTGGTCACCTCCGGGACATGCACCCTCTACGTAGAGTAGTATTTTGCTCGTACAGATGTAAAGATTTTATTTTGCAACTTTGGTGAAGATCGGAAAAGTTTAGGTCAGAAGCCTTACATAGGTGGCACTGTAGAGTCATATTAGGTGTGTGTTTTCACACCATTACTCTCAGGCCATTACCAACTTTTAGTGATGTGAGTTTTAGCTCTGTAGGTCTGAGCCTGTGGTCACGAGAGCATCAAACATGGAGAAATTCCCTACTACCTCGCATGAAAACGATAAAAAAATTCTAACTTTTATGCAATGATTATAAAACTTCAATCCGTCCAGATGGAGAAATGACATGGTAGAAGTCTGTGCGATGAAAATCCAGGGACTAGTACGAAGCCAAAAATGCAACACCTTGAACTGCCTGTAAGTGGCACTGTTGCACTCACAGTTGTGTGTTGCATATCGTTGTGTTCAGGGTCATACGCTGTATTTCTGAATTAATTTTTAGCTTCATCGGACAAACATTTTGCCCCAAAAAGCTCATTAATTCACTTTCTGGCGCCCCCAGTGGTCAGGTGTAGGACAACTTTTGCGTAATGTAATGTGTTGCTCGTCTCGGTCCAGAGAATACACTCAGCGATTTTCGGGCCGATCCGTGCTCTAGTGCCCTATTACTTTCCGACAGGTGGCGCTAAAGAGCTCGAATTGGGCGAATGATTTTAGTGTCATTGCGTTCAGGCCATAACCTAATATTACTGATGTGAGTCTCAGCTCTGTAGGTCTGAGCCTGTGGCCCTCAGGGCTCAGCGAAAATGGCCAAAACGAAGGCCTTATTCGCCATGGCGAGGGACGAAAACGGTGAAGATTTTCTACTTACTTTTTTTTGATGATTATATAACTTCAATCCATCCAGATTAGGAAATGACGTGGTAGAACTGTGTGTGATGAAAAACCAGGGACTAGTTCGAAATTATAAATGAAAAGTCAAATTGGCGGCGAAACTTTGGCCCATCATGGCCAACTTCCTGTTGGTCCCAGACATGTGCTTAGAACGGCTTTTATGCTCGTCTCATAGAGATCTATCACTCATCCGAATTTCGTGTACCTACTCCAAAATATGCAATCCTGCCTCCAATAGAAATGCCAAATTTTGAATTTTCAAGGGGGCGCTATTGATTCGCCTTTTGTCGGACAATCTCGAAACGTCCGTTTTATCAAATGTCCGTTTTATCAAATGTAGGCCTCCCCAATACTACGTATTGGCTCGGCCTAATAATATGAAAACAACGAATAACAATAGGCCTCCCCAATACTACGTATTGGCTCGGCCTATCTTTCATTGAGGTCCCACCCATCTACAATAAACTCAATACCAATGCCTTTGTCATAATAGCACATAACAATTAACAAGATTATCTTAGCCGAAAACAGAACAGTAATTGTCACCAGGAGAATGATTTACTTTTTTAGACCAGTCTGAGAACCCGACCTTATGCCGTGTCGTCACTCTGGCGTCGGAATGCCTGGAGCTTCTCTCTGAAACTTGGCATCTGGACCATGCCACCTGTATTCACTTTTTTGCCGTACGATTGCCACATCCGTTGTTTTATCTGCTCCAACAGCGTAGTGTGGCCTTTGACAAGGTTTACGACAAACCTCTCTTCACCAAATCCTCTGTCGCCTCCTGTGCAGAGTTGTACGTAACCATGCCTTCGCTGTAATGCACTCTCAGCCTGGCCGGGAAAGGCGTCTGGAAGCGTATGTTCTTCTCCCTGAGAGCCGCTTTGGCTGCGGTATACTCCTTGCGCCTTTTTTGTATTTCGGGGGCATAGTCATTGTCCAAAAAAACCTTCTTGCCTTGAAAATCAAAGCCTCTCGCTTGCCATGCTCGCCTGAGAATGTCCTCTTTTATGCGATAACCTGCAAACTTGACCACAAAGGACCGTGAAGGGGCCCCGACGGGTGGCTTTACTCCCAGGGCACGGTGCGCCCGTTCGATGTTAAATGCGGTGGTCGGGGGGATTCCGAGGCCGTTCCTTAATAATGACTCAACAAAGTTAATAACAGACGTCGCTCCCTCTTCTGCCCCCTCAACCACTCCGTGAATCCTGATGTTCTCACGCCGTGAGCGCCCCTCCAGATCCGTCAACTTAGCTTCAACTTGGGTTTGGAGCTTTGCTAACACCAGTAGCATCTCCTCCGAAGCCTGTATGCTAGTCTCCGCCTCCATTATTTGTTCCTCCGCTTCGTCCATCCTCTTGGCGATGCCGTTTATGTCCTCTCTTATATTGTCGAACTGCTCCTTGTTCTCCCGTCTGAACTCACAGAGCTCTTTTAAGATTAGGTCAAAGTTGGCACCATCACCACTTCCTAATGCACTCTCAGCCTGACAGTAGAACGACACGTTCGTGTCGTTCTTATGAACGACACGTTCTACTGTCGCTTTGAATCCGCTGATGCCTGTCCTACTGAATTCCCTGAGTGTTTCAATCAAGGTACCTTCACCGTGACTCAGGAGGAAGTCAGGCATGTCTTGTCCAGGACCACAGTCCGGAAAGCCCCAGGCCCGGACGGCATCCCTCCTCGTGTCCTGAAACTGTGCTCTGAGCAACTTGCTCCTGTGCTAACAGACATTTTCAACCTGTCGCTAAGGAACTCTACTGTGCCAAACTGCTTTAAAGAGTCGACCATCATTCCAGTTCCTAAGAAAACTCCTGTGACATGCCTGAATGACTATCGTCCTGTGGCCCTCACGTCTGTTCTTATGAAAACTTTTGAGCGGCTTGTGCTGGACTTCATTAAGAGCCAGATCCCTGTGAGCGTTGACCCACTCCAGTTTGCTTATAGACAGAACAGGAGTGTGGAGGATGCCATCTCCTTTGCTCTGAACTCTGTCTACAGTCACTTGGACACTAGTAAATCTGTCGCGAGAATGCTTTTCATCGATTATAGCTCTGCTTTTAACTGCCTTGTCCCAGGTAAACTGATTGAAAAGCTCATGTCTCTCGGTTTAAGTGTTGCCATGTGTAAATGGATTTTTAGCTTTTTAACTGACAGATCTTAGAGAGTAAAAATCAATGACTGTTTTTCTGATGTTGTTTCTGTGAGCACTGGTTCTCCTCAGGGATGTATTTTGAGTCCTTTGCTTTTTACTTTGTACACTCACGATTGTGTGTCCTCCTCTGACTCAAACTTGATCATCAAATATGCTGATGACACCACCATCATCGGTCTCATCAGTAACACTGATGAATCCTCTTATGGAGCAGAGATACAAAATGTGGTTCAGTGGAGTAAAACTAACAACCTCCAGTTGAACGCATCGAAAACATGTGAACTGGTCTACGACTTCAGTCGCAATAGTTCTCATTTGCCTGTCGTAATCGACAACTCCCAGGTGCAGATCGTAGAGGAGTGCAAGTTTCTGGGTTTAACTCTGTCTAACCTGAAATGGGTTAAAAACACTGACCGAGTCGTTAAGAAAGCTCGTCAGCGTCTCTACTTTCTGCGTAAACTTAGAGAATTTACCACTAACTCTAAGATTCTGCTTAACTTTTATCGCTGTACCATTGAGAGTTTACTTGTTGGTTCTGTGTCTGTGTGGTTAGGAAACATCACAGATAAAGAAAAGAGAGCTTTAAACAAGGTGCTCCGCTCTGCAAAGAGGACCGTGGGCTGTGAGCTTCCTGTTCTGGAGGTTCTTTATAAATCCAGACTTTTAAACAAAGCTCTTAGGATTGTCAATGACTCTTCTGGCCACCCTGGGAAAGCCATGTTCCAGCTTCTTCCCTCTGGCAGAAGATATCGCTCTCTGAGATGCAGGACATCTCGTTACGCTAACAGTTTTTATCCACAAGCTGTTATCAGTGTGAACAGAGCTCTTTAATGATTTGCACTTGTTTTGAACTGTTTTAGTCGATCGATTTCACAGTGACATTTGTTTACTGTTTTATTTGTTTTATTTTTGTCTTTTAATGTTGTTTTATGTCTGTATTTGTCTGTGCACACTGGAGACTTTTGCTAATGTATTCCAATGTGGTTTTTTTTACTGCAAATGGCAAAATAAACTGAATCTGAATCTGGATCTTTGGTTCGTCTTCCATATTGTTAGTGCTACTAGAATTGCTACCTTGCGAGAGAGCGTCCTCCTCCACTACACGCTGTTCTGTTCTCCGCGAGACGCTCCCCTTAAGCTTGTTGGGCATTTTTGCACCGTTATGGTACCCTACGCACACAGCTCAACAAAATCTCGAATTCGAGTTAGTTTTAGGGTATAAAAATGAACTTGTAGATGGGAGCTCTTTCTCTATGCAGTCATGTCGACGCCCATGTGACCGGAAGTCTCCCACTCTTGTCTGTTTTTAATATGATTTCACCCATTTTTGTGCTATTTCTCGGATTCCATATCTATAGTGTCATTTATTAAGTAGTATATTATTAGTATCAATCAGTTATCATCAATTGTGTCAGTAATTTCTTCAAAAAATCTATTCGTCCAACATATTACTTCTGAAGCCATATAGGCTCGAATGTATTTATCATTATGTCTTTTTTTTCTAAATTTTCTTCTGTGACATTATGAGGCAAGACAAATTTCCCTCAGGGTACAATAACATTTATTATATTACATTTTATTCTATTTATAAGCTAATGGTACTGTCAGGATGAACCAGACAGAGACGGATCGTGGTGTGCCAAACTCTGGAAGTTTATTTAAGTTTCTCTCAAGTTCCACTGGTTTACTCTGTTTCTTTCTCTCAGACAGAATAAAGGCAGTACACAGTTTATATAGTCATTGTCACGTCACACATGGAAAGACATACGTGTCACAAAGAGACAGTCAAATCATAGTCATAACATGGAGTCCTTGTAGAGTCCTTGTACAGTCCTGCACGTAGGCCATATTGCTATCTAATACTAACACCCTCCCCTTTGATCACATAATCACATGTGATCACTCAATTTGATCAATCAATAAAGTGGAAAAAGGAAAAAAAAACTTTAAAAAATTATTAAAAACAAAGAAAATGTATGCATTAAACTCATAATCATCAAATCAATATCAGTGGATTTTATCCTCTATCCTGGGAAAAAAAACAAAACAAAAACAAATCAAAAACAATCAAAAATAAAAAACACTATTGGACACACAAGAACTCAGCAGATTCAGTCGAAACACAGACAAAAACGAGCTGAGTCTCAAATTTGAAGCTAATTTCACTTTTATTACTCTATACTTTTATTCTAATGCTAATTGTTTACACTACACTTCACTTATTTCACTGTATTATTTTCACTTTTTAATCTTAGACTGTGTACTTTACTTTCACTATTCACTATAGTTTAAAACTATTCTAATCTATTTACAAATATGTTTGCATATTTGCTTCTATTGAGCCATATTCTTAAACATACATTTTAATCTAATAAATCTCTCTGTGGTATTATACTCTCATTATCAGTTTGGGATGAATGTACATCTTTAATCAAATTGGAACTATCCTTACAAGAGCTAATCTATTTGAGCAGGTTTGGGGTTGGGGTCAGTTATTCTACAATGGTGTTTGTGCTGGAAACTTCTCAATATCTAAATATCTACTATTGTGTTTTTGTGCTATACACAAATACATCAAAATGCTTTTAAATGCTTTTGAATCTCTGTTGGTTGTAATCTATCTCATTAATCTAGGCATTAATCTAGACTACACTCATATGGACTTTTGCATTGTCAACATTCACTCATGTGTGAACACAAGTGAATTTGGCAAGTATCTAATAAAACTGTACATAAACTGTAATTAACTTTATCTACTTCTGAAGTAAATGTTTGTGAAATGGTCCCTTTACCATTTGCTATTAGCACTGGCTAAGAATATTCTCTATTTTTGAAAGCATCTATGGTTGATGCATTTATCTATCTCTATTTTTACACTATTGTGACTCCAAAGTTTGGCTGCAGTTTGAGCAAAGGCATATTCCTAATTTGTGACTTCTGTCACTTTTAATATCTCTAAAATACTCTGATTCTAATATTATAGCTGATCTATCAAAAGGATAACATTGTAGGGTACTTATTTAACTCTTATGTGGAAATGTGTTTATGAAAAACAAAGGAAGTCAAATTCTACTCTTTTACTACTATTTAACATCTACTAAAACGCTACAATACTTATACTTTATCATTTTCAAAGTTTTTGTCTGTCAGATGTCTGAATACTTAACATGTATATTGCATTTGTCACAGTTTCTGGTTGTAGCAATAGCATCGGCAATAGACGTTTTCATTGGCTGGTTCTTGTTCTGCAAATGTCTGTGTCCAATAGATCATCAGATGTCCAGAAGCTAGGGACAAACAAAAACAAAAGAAAGAATCATGAGTATCTCTCTCATTTAGCACTCATCAATGTATGATTTCAAAAATATAAACATCACTCCCCAGTTTTCTCTCTCAGGTCCTCAGGTCCTCAGGGTCCCCTGAGGGTGAGTCTCAGTCGTCATCAGGTCAGGTCATAGAGAGATGTCATCTTGGTCATCAGTAGGGTCCAAGCCATGGTTTTGGTCTCTCCAGATGCACATCAGGATCTCCAGATACAGTCTTTTCACTTGAAGCACATCAGGTCATTTGCGATGCACTTCTGGTCAATGGTGCAGTGTCTCAGTTCCTGTACACAGCTTGTAATGCAGTAGTTACTCTCTATGGTTAAATCACTTTGATTCTACTTTAACACAATTTCTATTCATGCTGTTGCTAATGTCCCTCAGACAAAAAGCAAGCGCAATGATTCAGTTTACTTCTCTAATTTGTGTTTTTATCAGATCTAATTCTGATCAATGTAATTACTTCACACAGTACAAAATCAACAAATCAAAAGTGTCAGGACAGAGGTCAATTATGTCCATGACAATATAGAATTCAAATGAACATTTCTGGTCTCAAAAAATACTGATTAGATACTGACTAGACAATTAAAAATGTGTTTACATTGGAGTAAACTTTTAAAATGCTTTTTTCTCATGTTCTGCTTTTTCATGCATCTATATGTAAATGTGAATGTGTGAGTGTATGAATGTATGTGTGTGTGTATGTGTGTGTGTGTGTGTGTAGGGTGTGAATTTTGGGGTTGTGTCTCCAGACTCCTCGAAGCACCTGTAGGTGTCAAAGGTCACACTGTGGTGATGTAAACAAGCAAAGTGGGCACACTTCCAGATTGCAAAACAACTCACCCACCACTGCCTACAGAAAACCTCACTTTGTGGCCCCGGTCTCACTGCCACCTACGACCATCGGTCTGTAGTGGGGGAGGGGCACACGGAGGTAGCTATGTCGCCTTTACGATCTGCGGCTGGTTGGATGGTGTCTACTCTGGGCCACTGTTCTGATCCCTCTGTGTCCACTCCAGCAGTCCAGTGGCCCTGTACAGTGTGTGCCCTTGGTTCTGGAAAACAACCTTATAGTCAAATTAAAAACAACAGAGATTGTGAATGAGATTGTTTTTCTCCCTAAAGTCAAAACAATTTTGGAGCGCTCTGGGTTTTCCCAAGCGCTATGTAAATAAAAGATTACTTATTATCTTACTAATGATGACATTTTTAAGACCAGAAACTCTTAATATAAAAAAACAAGACTCAAATCTCAAAAAACCTTTTTAAACTTTAAAATATGTGTACTTTTGTACTGTGTTTAATTATCTTGCACATTTTAGAGCCAGTCTCCTCTGCTGTGGCATCAGCAACAGTAAGGTCAGGCGTGTAGTCAAAACAAAAACAAAAGTCACCACTTGAATGTGAATTGGGTGAAGTTTAACTTATATATAACTTATATTATATATATATAAATATAATTCCCTCTTTCTTTTTTAGACGAAGTCTATAATCAATAATCACTTTTAACACAGATTCTAATTTAAATGTTTGAAAAACGGCTTTTGTAACTAAAATAAAAACATGAAAACAAACACAACTCACAAACAGTTAAGAAATAAGCAGCAGATTTAAAAGAATGGAATCTAGAAATATGTTAGGTCTAAAAAGAATTGCACAGCTTTAGCACTAATATTTGGGTTTCAAAAAACATATAATATTCAAAACTTATTCACTAATGGTGTTTAAAAAGGTTTAACTGTGTCATAACACAATGTTCAATTGCAAATTTCGCAAATTTAACGGAATAACAACTATGAAAAGCCAAAATCCTAAAAGCAGTAGCTTTGCTCTGATTCAGAGCCAGAGCAGCGAAGGAGGGGGCCGTTTCCCTGACAACGGCAGCAAGATAGAGCGGCGCACACACACACAAGCAGAAAGTAGTATTTTAGCAAAAATGCCAAAACAGAAAGAAGAATAACTTTCAAGATTACTTTGTTAAGCAAATATAACTGATGTTGTTCTTTAAACTTTTGTCATCCAAGTCTAGAAGTGATCACTTTCCACACTAGTAACAAAAGGCACTCTTACTTTAACGTACGCTTCTATTTTATCGAGGTAGCAAACTAGTTTAAACTCAAAATCTCTTTCTAAAAAACAAAAACAACCTGTTGGATACAACCCTCTCATAGCTCAACTGTAGATATAACTCGGCAAAAAATGTAAATAACTCACGAAAGCTCTCATAGCTCAACTTTGGATAAAACTCTGCATTCTCCGGTGAACTCTGTTCACTCCAAAAACAAAAACTCCCTTTTTCTGTATGTAATTTAAACCGTGATCACTGAAATATTGTTGCTTCTTTACTTTTGTAATTTATCAAGCTTGGAATTGGTTAATTACAAAACTTTTTGTGACAAAAGGCCTCCTTAACACGTTTCCCTTTTTATAATTACTTTTAATTTTACACCATGGTTTCACTTCTGGATCCTCACTTATGGCCTTTACACTTTATGGATCCTATTCACTTTAATGGCCAACACTTTTCACTTTATGGATCCTATTCACTTTAATGGCCAACACTTTTCACTTTATGGATCCTATTCACTATCTTTTCTCAAAGGGACTCTAACCCCGAAAACGTTTTCTCAAAGGGACTCGAACCCTGAAGCTTCTTCTCAAAGGGACTCTAACCCCGAGACTTCTTCTCAAATACAATTTAGAGAGTTTGACAGACCCCAAAAACAGACCAAAATTTAGCTAATATCCAATTATGCAGACTTTACATATAAAAAGGTGTCTGCTTACCTTATTCTTGTCAAACCGGTTCCAAGGACTGTCCGAG